GTACTGCCTGTCTGGAACTTGCTGTTTAGAATAATAGACTAGGCTAGCCTTTAACTCAAGAGGTGTAACTGCCTCTGCCTCCCAGGAGCTGGGATTAAAGGCGCCTGGCTGATGATCAAAGTATTTTGACTCTCAGATTCTGCCTCCAGTGACATACTTCCTCCAACAGGGCCACACCTCTTTTTTTTTTTTTTCTTTTTCCAGAGCTGAGGACCGAACCCAGGGCCTTGCTCTACCACTGAGCTAAATCCCCAACCCCTGGGCCACACCTCTTAAACCTCCCAAAAAGTGCCATAAATTGGGAACCAGGTGTTCAAATGCCAGAGACTATGAGGACATCTTATTCAAAACATGACAATTACCATATGGCAACCCTATATTTAATATAGGGTTAACAGCCTGAGAAATCCCAATAATATTTAACAATAGTCATACCACATGCAATGCACAAGGATTCCAATTTCTCTACATTATTAAATATGTACATATGTATTTATTTTGGCTCTGGAGTTTTATTTTTCTGTAACAGCCACCCTAGCTAATAGTAATCAGTATCTTATTCTAATTTGCTTTTTTCTTTTCTTTCTTTCTTTCTTTTTTTTTTTTCTTTTTTTTGAGACATGTAGACCATGTAAACCAGACTGGGCTGGTACTCAGAGAGATCCACCTGTCTCAGCCCCCTAGGATTAAAGACTTTCTCCATCACACCTATTTTTTGAGAGAAGGTCTCATTAAATCCTGAGTTCACTAATTTGGCTCTACTAGCTAGCCAGCAAAGCTCCCAGGATCCTCCTGTCTCTGCCCCTCTCAGCACTAGGATTACAGGTGTGTACTGACACACGTGGGTTTTTATTTATGTGCTGGGGACTGAACTCAGGACCTCCTGCTTATGCGGTAAATAAACACTTTACCAATCAGGCCTTTGTGTATCTAAGTGTGGCTATTCACACAAAGGCATGAGTACCCAAGGAGGCCAGAGGCATCAGGTCCCTCTGGAACTAGACTGACACGTGATTGTCAGCTACCAGTGTGGGTAATGGGAACCAAATTCAGGTCCTCTGTACCTTTAACCACTGAACTATCTCTCCAGCCACATTTTGACCTAAATTTTCTTTTCTTGGTTTTTTGAGACAGGGTTCCTCTGTGTAATAGCCCTGGCTGTCCTAGACTCACTTTGTAGACTAGGCTGTCGTTAAACTCATGACAATCCGCCTGCCTCTGACTCCCAAGTGCTGGGATTAAAGGCGTGCACCATCACCTAGCTTAAAATCTAAAGAAAAAAAAAATAATTAACCAAAAACATTTAGGGGGGCTGGAGAGGTGGCTCAGAGGTTAAGAACACTAGCTGTTCTCCCAAAGGTCCTGAGTTTAACTCCCAGCAACCACATGGTGGCTCACAGCCATCTATAATGAGATCTGGTACCCTCTTCCCGAGTGCAGAAAGAAGGCTGTATAAATAAAAAATAAAACTTAAAAAAAAAAAAAAAAAAAAAAGGAGGTCAGCCAGCTTTAAAAAAAAAAACATTTAGGGGCTAGAGAGTTGGCTCAGCGGTTAAGAGCACTGGCTGCTCTTCCAGAGGTCCTGAGTTCAATTCCCAACAACCACATGGTGGCTTACAACCATTGTAACAGAATCTGAATCCCTCTTCTGCTGTGCATGTCAACAAAGCACTCCTATATATAAAATAAATAAATAAATCTAAAAAAAACTTTTAAATGGGGGCTGGGGAAACGGCTCAGCAGCTGGAAGCACCGACTATTCTTCCAGAGGTCCCAGGTTCAGTTCTCAGCACCCACAGATTGTCTGCAACTCCAGTTCCAGGAAACCAGACACCCTCACACAGGCACATACACAGGCAAAACACCAATTAAAAAATTAATTTAAAATGTTGTGGATATAAACATGTTTTTGTTTTATTCCCAGGTTTGGGAATTGGGGCTGATTCAGAGAGTCCATAGCAGCAGACTATTTGCCTTGTGCAGGGTCTGAGAGGTGCAGGGTCTGAGGGGAGCTCTTTTGCCAACTGGGGACTCTGGAGCCAGAGCCCAGAAAACGTGGAGGAGCTCTGAGAAAGAACAAGGCTGCTGCTGCTGCTTCCCCGCTGCAGCTCCTGGTTGCTGTTGATGAAGTGAGACGAGAAGTTGGAGATCTGAAAGGAGGATTGGACTGGCTCCAAGGAACCTGATGACCCTAACCAGCTAAGAGAACTGTGCCCCTTTCCCACTAATCCTTTCTCTCTCCTACCTGGTGTTGGGGTATTGGAAGGGATTGGGGTAAAGTAGGGAGAAATATATAAGAAATGTAAATAAAAGAGTTTTTAAAAAGTACAACATTAAAATTAAATTAAAATTTAACGTGGTGGCACATGCCTTTAGAAGAAAGAAGAAGAACTAGAAGAAGAGGAAAAACAAAAACAAAACAAAAAACCAAAGAGAGAATTCCAATGAGGAAACAGGTTTGGGCAGAAAAGTTCAATTTTGGATCCTGTAAGACTAAAGACCCCTGTGATATATCCAATTGGAGAGCTCAAACAGGCAAGTGGACTCCTATTTTTTTGATTCAGAGAAAGAACTAAATGAAGGTTCAATGTGGGCTACTGTTCCTCAGTGTTCCTGAACTATACAGAAAAACTATGCCCTATGGAAAGGGCATAGACCTGAGGGACCTGGCTTTTGTCCTCCTCCCAATTCTGTCACCAAGCACCCTCTCTCTACTGTCTGCTGTTTAAACAGGATCTCTGCAGTCCAGGTTGGCTTAAAACTTCTTAAACATTACAATCTAAAATGACCTTGAACTCCTGATCTTCCAGCCTCTACCTCCCAGGTGCTGGGATTACAGATTTGTGCCATCACAAGCAATTTTATAAGGGTAACCCAGGGCTTCATGGATGCACCTTACAAACCGAGCTATATTCCCAGGCTCCCGGAAGCCTTTCCATGGAAGCCAAATTAGAAACATGCATGTAAAATCACCATCTCCCATCCACACATGCTCACTGCAGCTTTCTTCACAACAGTCAAGACAAAGAATCAAGCAAGGTGTCCATTGACACTTTGGAGAAAGAAACTGTGGTACATAGTGTCCGTGGACGTATCAAACACACACACACACACACACATGATGAAATATTCTGCTTTCAGGAAAAAAGCAGCTGTTGGTGAGAGTATTTGCCTTCAGGCCTGATGAGCTGAGTTCAATCCCTGGTAACCATAAAGTGGAAGGAGAGAATTCCCATAAACTGTCCCTTGTCCTCCATGTGTGTGCTATGGCATACAAACACACAAACACAAAATAATAGAAGGAGGAGGAGAAGGAGGGGATGATGACGATTTGGGGCTGGGAAGATGGCCCAATCTGTAAAGAGCCTTGTCCTGTAAGCAAGAGGATCTGAATTTAGACCCCAAGCATTCAAGTTAAAAGCCTGGACCTCAAAGTGGAGCATGGGGCACATGCTTTAATCCTAACATTTGGGAGGCAGCGACAGATTTATCTCTGTGAGTTTGAGGCTACCCTGGTCTACAGAGAAAGTTCCAAGACAGCCAGGGCTACATAGACCCTGCCTTAAAAAAAAAAAAAAAAAAAAAAAAAAAAAAAGGAAAAAAAAAACCTTAGGTAAAAAAAAAAAAAAAAAAAAAAAAAAAAAAAGTGTAATAGAGGCTTTAGGTGTTTTGTGGGTATTTCTACACCCACTCTGACTTCAGCCACATCTTCAGGGAGCTTTCTGAGCAGGGTGACCACAACTTTCCTAAAGACTCCTGAGTGGCCCTGGTTTTCTGCCCTAGAGCACTGTTTCTAGAACATTCAGCCCTTGGGCAAGGCAGTCCAGAAGTATAAAGAGCATTCGTTGATAGTGCCTTTTTCTTTCCTTTGTTTTCCCCTTAATACAGGACCTCAGGCACCGCCAACTGACCTTGAACTCCACAAGAAGCTGAAGTTGGCCTTAACCTCCTGACTCTCCTCCCTCCACCTCCCAAGTGCTAGCACTACAGGTCTGCACCACCATGCCTAGCTGGTGGGCCTTAATTTTCATCCAGTGAACCCCCCAGCATATACTGTCACAACTGCCACAGTCCAGGAGTAGATAACAGAAACCTTAAGTACATCTGTCACACACTCATACACACACACACACACACACACACACACACACACCGGCACCTTGACCAGCACTTGAGATTAAGTGAACTCCACATCGCCTGCTTTAACCTTCTGATCCTCTTGGTGTTTAACCCGCTAAGGAGCAACACAGGGGCATCTGATACTTAAAAGGAGGAAAAGGAAATCGAGCTCTCTCGGTCCTAGGCCTCAATGCCAAGTCCAGGGAAGGAGGGGGTGGCTGAGGAGAGAGTGAAGAGCCTGGAGAGCTGACATGAACCCCTAGGCTCTACCTGAAGTTAAAACAGCTAGTTCAGAGACTGAAACAAAACACCTCCAGACACAGGTAAGAGGTTCAGCGTGCAACTAATGCTGCGCAGGCGCAAGAAAGCAAGCCTGGCTTTGAGGTTCGAACCGGCCTCCACACACTGTGGCAGCAGGGACAGCGCGGTCACACAGCCCTCAATGCCTCTTCCCGAACGAGGTCCACAGCCTTTCAGGAAATGCCCCGGAGGCCCCCTTTTTAGTCATTGGCCTCTCTTCTTTCCCGGTCCAGGACAGGGCGGAGCCTAGAAAGCCGGAGGCTGGAGCGGGCCAGGCGGGTGGACCGAAGGGACGCCATGCCTGTCAGGTTCTCACCTCTTTGTCTGCCGCCTTCTCCTCAACACCTAGAAGCGCGTACAGGTCCATTTGTAAGAGCTCTTTGGCCACCGCCATGGTTCCGGCCTAAACCGAGTTGGCACTACAACTCCCAGGAGTCTGAGCGAGCGCGCGGCAACGAGAGGGTGGGTGTGGGCGGTTCTAACTCCGAGCCGGCTCAACAGCGCGCTAAGACCCCTGGGAATCGGTGTGTTCCGGTTCGGGTTTGACTGACTGTGAAGGAGCGCGCCTCGGAGGATGAACTACGACTCCCAGCATTCCCCACTCCGCTGCCGCCGGGCGTATTACTGAGTGGGGAGAGTCAGAATTCCCCGCGCTGGGACGCAGTTGGACGGCATAGGTGGGCGTGTAGGGCCTGGGCTGCACAGCCTGAGGGTCTGAGAGGCCTGTTGGTGAGAGGCTATCCCGCCGATCCTGCGGCGCCGAGATGGAAAGCAGGTGCTACGGCTGCGCTGTCAAGTTCACCCTCTTCAAGAAGGAGGCGAGTGTTCTCCCAGAGAACTGGAGGGCCACGGGAGGACGCGGGGCGAAGGGAAGAGCACTGGACTTGTAGGCCAAATACATACCCAGTTTGACGGATTCTTTCCAGTAGTGTGGTTTTGATCAAGTAACCCAGTTAATATTTCTGTAAAGTGGGCCTGATGCCCATTCAGTGAGATGGCCCTACGGGTAAAAAGCACTTGCTTGCTAACCCTGATGACCTCAGTTCGAATGCCAGGACCCACATGGTGGAAGGAGAGAACTCCCACAAGTTATTCTCTGATCTCCGCACAGATGCCATGACATGCACTTGTCTACACGCATACACTCCCAAAGAAATAATGTAGTTAAAAAATTTTTTGAGTGGCTTTGATGAGGTGCTGGAGCTGAAAGTACCTTGTAATTTATAAAGAAATTATAAAGTGTACTGCTGTCAGTTTCCAAACGGTATGCTTTTTTGTTTTTGTTTTTGTTAACACTTGAAGCTATTGTTACCACCCTATCCTGAGCCAAACCTCCCACCATCTCTGCCAGAACAGAGAAGGCATGGGTTCTGCACTCCGTCTGACTCTCTTTGTTGACTAGCCAGTGCCCTGACACACGGGCCCTTGTTTGTCTTTGTACTACACCCCCAAGGTAAGACAGTGAAAATGGTAGAAAGCATGTGAACTTTGCCTGAAAGTTTTATCCGATTTGAGCAAGATTCTGGAAACCAAGGAATTGCTGTACCCCGTGTACCTCTCTCTGCCTGGACCCTAGGGATCCAAATCCTCTTCCTTCCTCCAAAATCTGGTCACAACTTCTTCTTCCTGTGAGTGTTTAGAGAGTCTCATAAAAGAGCCAACGGGGCTGGGTGAGAGATGGATCCTCCTGTTTCATGTCTTTTACAGTATGGCTGTAAGAACTGTGGCCGGGCCTTCTGTAATGGCTGTCTTAGCTTCACTGCTCTGGTTCCTCGGGCTGGCAACACTCAACAGAAAGTCTGCAAGCAGTGCCACACAGGCCTGACCAGGTGAGAGAGTGACATGGGCAAGGGTTCAGACAGGCATGACAGCCTCTGGCCAGGCCTGCAGCCTTCTGCTCCCTGGCCAGGGATCAGCCTGGGAAGTATTGGCGGTTGAAAGCATTGATGGGTGGAAGGGAAGGATTGCTGACACCAGTGTCCTTTCTTTAGAGGGTCTTCTGACAATGCCTCCAAGTGGTCGCCGCCTCTGAACTATAAGAAGTAAGTACTGAAAAGAAGACAGGTCTTCCTTCCTGTTCTCCAGATCAAATGGGTGCAGATTAGAGAGCATGCCCACCTCCAGGCTCCGGGCTTCCCTCTTGGATCCTGAAAGCAGCTCAGTCTGTTCTCGGAAAAGGCATTTGGGAGCTCTTTCCCCGTCAGGCATACCCTACAGCTACTCAGCTGGGTTGGGACACAGAATATGGCCTCTAGAGGCCCAGATTGATTTGAATGGGTACCATCAGTCTTCCCTTTTGCCTCATCCTACCAGGCGTGTGGCAGCCTTGGAGGCCAAGAAAAAGCCCAGTACTTCTCAGAGCCAGGGCCTGACCCACCAAGACCAAGCCATTGCTGAGCGCCTAGCCCGGCTCCGTCAGGAAAACAAACCCAGTGAGTGTGATGGTGGGTCAGGGGACCTAAAAGACTCAAGAGCCAGGCTGAGGACTGCCTGAGCTTCCTCTGCCCTTACAAACCCTCTCCTTGCCAAATGCAGAGTCAATACCCTCCCAAGCAGAGATAGAGGCACGGCTAGCTGCACTGAAGGATGAAGTCCAGGGCCCCATCCCTTCCACACAGGAGATGGAGGATCGGCTTGCAGCCTTACAGGGCAGAGTCCCACCTTCTCACACCGTGAGGCCGGTGAGTGTGATGGCTTGGGAGAGAAGGGTTTCCTAGGGCAAGCTCCCTACAGAAGCCCAGATACATGTCTGATCGTGTGCTTTGCAGGAGTTGGTAAAGCCTTCCACTCCTACCTCCTGAGCCTTAGGCCTGCTCCCAAGCCAAAGACCAAGTACCAAGCAGCAGGCCTGAGTGTATCAGCAAAAAGTGGATACTCAGCCCTGTGGGGACCTTCCAGACCTACTCACCTATGTGGACTTGAATTCACCCCTTCCCCTGGGCTTTGAACAGTCTTCAGCATCCACCGCTGACTCAGACCTCTCCTGGACTCCTGGTGTGCCCTTCCACACACCCCTATTCCCCACTGAGGTTCCCTCCTCTGCACAGGCACACCAGGCACCCGATGCCAGGACCCAGGCCCAGCAGACACAGGATCTGCTGACACAGCTGGAAGCTGAGGTGGCTATTGATGAAAGCTGGGAACGAAGGGGCCCAGGTAACCTGTCCACTTGGCTTCTCCCAAGTCATGTCCTGCCTCTTCTGCCTATCCCTGGGGAGGTGACACAAGTCACAGGATTGGTCAACACTAAAGAGCTTCTGTTTATGAGTGTTTGCACTGGCTCTAGAATCAAAGGGTGAATTTCAGTTCTCCCACCTACATGAGTTTCTTCACCTATCTAAATCTTTCTCATCTGTAAACTCAAGCTCTGTGTGCTAGAATCCTATCTCCTGGGAGAAGTCATGAGGAGTAAATGAATAATACAGTTAGTGCTTGGGACTTTAACCCTGGCTCATAATAAGTACTTAGTAGCTATGTCTGCAGCGATGACACTGATAATAAGGAAGAGGCTTAAATTAAAGGAGTTAGGGTTCAGTCACCTCCTTGTACCAGCCACATTTAACCATTCACTACCCACACGAGCTCGTGGAATACATCACGGACAGCCTAAGTCTAGGACATGCTAGGCAGCGCTCCTGATGACATCATAGAGGATCCTTGGATAGTGATATATGAAGGCTCCAGAGCAGTAGCTCCAACTAGAGATGATTTTTCCGTTTAGGGCACTTTTGGAAATGTTTATAGACCTTTTCGTCTCATGGCTCACAGGTACTACTGGCATCTGCTAGGTGAAGGACAGGAATGCTGCTAAGCACGCTACCCTGCAGCTGCCAGCTCCCCACCCTAAAAAGAATCACCCCCTCAAATGTGTCAGTAGAACCAAGGTTAACAAACGGCCGTATAGACACAGTCTCCATGAATAGCTTCAATAATCTGACCTATGAACTACTGTTCTATATATATCTGAAGAACTAGACTTGGTAAGCTTAGGGAAGGTGGCCATGGTCACACAGCCCTTAACTGGCAAGGATGAACCTTCAACATAAAGCTATTTTTGTTTTTGTTTGTTATTTTATGAGACAGGGCCTCATGTAGCCCAGGCTGGCCTCAAATTTTCCATGACCACAAACTCCTGATTTTCCTGTTCTCACCTTCCAAATGCTGTCATTACAGGAGTATAAGGTCATGCCTGACTTGTGTCATAACCACAACCACTCTAATAAAATTTCTTCCTTCCCGCTATCAAGACTGCTCCTTCCTTCATGACCTCTCCCTAAAGAAAATGCTAATTCCAGCCCTGGAAGACAGGATTGGCCAAATCTTAACCTCCCGTATCTTGATCCTTTAAAGCAGTGATTCTCAAGCTTTAGGATACACTCTATATTAACTAGGTGGATGAAGGGTATTGAAAAAGACACAACTAAAATTACTAGTTTTACCATGTATGATGGTATACACACATAATTCGAGAAATTGTGAGGCAGAGGCAGGAGGATCAAGAGTTCTAAGCCAGCCTAAATTCTATAGCAAACCCTCATCTTTAAAACAAAATTAAAAAAAAAAAAAGCTAATTATTTTTTATTTGGAAAATGGAAGAAATGGTAATTTTGGTTATTTTATTTTTTCCAAACAGGGTTTCTCTATGTAGCCCTGGCTGTCTGTAGAACAGGATGGCCTCAAACTCAGAGACCAGCCTGCCTCTGGCTCCCGAGTTGATGGCATTAAAGGCGTGTGCCGCCACCACCTGGTGTAGTTCTGTTTATAACATAAGCCTAGTAATGAGCAAAAATTAATAATGTATAATGAAAAAAATAGTTGAGAAATGGCTTTAGTGGCTTCTGGAATGAGATCTTGGAATTCTTCTGCCTCCCTAACTGCATTACCCCTTCCAGCGGCCCCCCTCCAGAATGACCTCAACAAGGGAGGTACAAAGGACCAGAGCACAAATTCCCAGGGGCAGGCCAGCCAGTCCCTGGAGGAAAAGAAGAGTAAGCTGCTGGCTGAGGCAGCAGTTGAGCTACGGGAGGAGAACAGCAGGCAGGAACGGATCCTGGCTCTGGCCAAAAGGTTGGCTATGCTGCAGGGACAGGACCCCAACAGAGGTAAAGACTCTAGCCACCCTCCTTAGTCAGCCCCTGTGGCCAAGGCCCGCCATAGAATACACTTTTCCTGACAGTGCTAAAGTAGATACTAAGGGTCCCTGTGCCAAAGAATATGCTATGCAGAGCCATGAGACATGATGGGGCAGAGCAGAGAATGAGAACTCTGAGGCAGCCATAATGGGGCAGTGGAACAGCAGTCTCTTCAGGTGCTAATGTGTCTAATGCTGCCTTCCACTCCCAGGGCTGATGGTCCAGCCTTGCAGGGTTGGGCTAGGGAGGCACATCAGCCTGATTCTCAACTCTGAAATAAGTGCCCCCCGGGAAGCAACAGTTCTAAAAGGCAAGAGGAAAGCCATTTGGTGAAATCTCTCACCTCACTCCTTCCTCTGTTCCTGCCCCCTCATTCAAGTGACCCTCCAGGACTATCGCCTCCCAGACAGTGATGAGGAGGAGGATGAAGAGACAGCCATCCAGAGAGTCATACAGCAGGTAGCCTTGCCGCCCACCCCGTCACCCTTGGCCTGCCTCTGCCTCATTGCTCATTGTTGCAGCAGCTGCAACAGTGGTCTCATTCACAGGCCTCTGCTCCACATGAGGCTGTATAAGCTCTCATTCCACAGCTCCCCTTCTGGCTGGGGCCCTTCTTCCTGCTGATAGGAATTGTGCAGTCATGGGCAGGAGGTGAAGTGTGTAGAGCTGAGGAGCTAAGGCCATAAAACACAGAAATGCTGGGAGGGAAGCCTGGACCTTGAGCAGGAAGTAGTGCCCTTCCTCCCTGTTCACAGCTCACTGAGGAAGCTGCCCTGGATGAGGCAAGCGGCTTTAACATCCCTGTGGAACCAGCTCCCAGACCCAGGGCCCAACCCTGCAGCACAGAGACTGAGGTGAGAGAGGCCTCCCACAGGCCTCATCCCCACACCTCCCACAGCCGGCCTGCCACCTGGCCTGCTGCTCCATCTGTACTCTACTTCCCCCATTCCTTCCTTTCTCTAAACCCCCTCCTCTGCTTCCTGGGCCCCAGGCTGAGGAAGAAGAGCTCCCCTGGTGCTGTATCTGCAATGAGGATGCTACGCTGCGCTGTGCTGGCTGTGATGGAGACCTCTACTGTGCCTGGTGCTTCCGGTGGGTGCTGGGAGAATGTTCTGAGAGAAAATGATCCTGGTGTGAGTGTTGCCAAGATCTCTGCCATTCACCCCTTTGCTCCGCAGGGAGGGCCACGATAATTTCGATCTTAAAGAGCATCAGACTTCTGCCTACCACCCCCGACCTCCTGGCCGAGAACACTGAGGAACACCTGGATGATCCCCGGAGGTGGCAGTGCCACAGGCAGCCAGCAGGCTGGGGTAGCCAGCTGGGCCCAGTCTCAGGGCATCAGTGGGATAGCAGATCCCACTCTTCTGATGGAAAGCACACCCTTTTGGGAGCTTCATTATCCCTGGAAGGAAGAAGTCCACTGAAAGATAATGACTCTTAGAGAAGCCAGATGAAAGGAGGAATCAGGGCCCTTCTCTGAGAGGCTGGCTCACACTGATATTATGGAAAAGACCAGACTGTACCTAGAATGAGGCCCAGCCATGGCCTATACTGGATCTAATAAAATATGTTATTGAGTCATTAACCTCAGATGTTTCTTTTCCAATGCTAGAGATTGACTAAACCTAGAGCCTTGAACATGCCAGAAAAAAAGGACTCTACCACTGAGCTACATCCCTAGCTTCAAAACCTTTTTGTTTTGTGTGTTTGTTTCTTGCATTACAGTGGCTCGAACCCATGTCCTCTTACATGTCAAGCATGTGCTCTGCCACTGACCTATGCCTCCAGGAGCTCAACACCATCTACATCTAGAACCCTGTGGCCCCTGAGCCCGAGGCATGAGAGAGGTACTAATAAGAGTAGGTTAGAAATAGACTCCTGTGGCATTCGTGAAAGTCTTGAGCTATCCTGTAAGAGCCTAGCAAGGAAAGTCCCACATCCTGGTGACCTCTGTGAACTGTGCCTTCTACTCAGCACAGCTCAGCTTGGCCATAAGAGCCTTCCATGTTGGATTTCTGTCTCTCTAGCACTTAAACAAGAATGTAGGAACAATGTAGACATACCCTGCTTCCAGCCTCACAAAGGACTGACCTGGCAGTCTACCTCAAAGGTCCAATGTCTGTCTTCCTACAACTTGCTTTAACCTCTGGCACTCCCTTTCACCCCTCTGCACATCCTCTGCTTCTTTCCTTCCTGCCCTGGACAGGAGCCAATCCAAGAAGAGAGTGCCATCTCTGCTGCCCTGAGAGGAGGAGGGTCAACCTCAATGGATGTGTCAGATTCAATGAGGGGTTTCCTATTGCTTCCTCTGCAGGAATCAACCTTGTCTTCATCAGTTAGGCTCCTCTTGTTGATGCCAGGATGTGGTATGCTTTGACCACACGGCCTCTAGGCCTCACTATTCCAGTGTCTTCAAAGCAAGCTGTGATCTCCATCTTTGGCTTCACAGCACCTGTTGGCATGAGGGCTGGGATGATGGTGGTGAATGGATGACTAGATGATGTGGTATAGCCAAGAGACATAGAATGTTGGTCTTCCAGATATCACTTCCCCTCACCCATCCCCCAGCACACATACGCACCACACTGTGGCAGGATATTTGATCCCATGGTGAACTCTCAGATTGTGAACTGTAAAAACCTGTTTCTAGTTGTGGAGTGGCTCAGCCCTAGCACACCCCTTTAATCCAAGAACTTTCTGTTTATTGTAAACAGGTGGTTATGTTGTGGCTCAACCCTAGCACTTACTGTTAATCCAAAAGCTTTCTGAAAACAAATAAAGTTAACCCAAAGTCAAGAGGCAGAGCAAGTAACCAGCTGACAGGGATTAAACAGAAAGGAGGAACTTCATGGAGAAGAAGAGCAGGCTCTGGGCTTTTTCCTTCTGGGACTTGAGCTGAGTAGAAAGGCTTTTTCCTCCTGGGACGTTGGCTGAGTAGGAAGGCCAGCTGGGTACTTCCTCTGCCTTTCTGAGATAGCAGGTTTTCACCCCAGCTTCTGGCTCCTGAGTCTTTACTGGTAAAATTGAATCATGGTGATTTTACTGTTTTAAAAACAACACCACACTCCATTTAGCTGGGCTCCTAAAGGTTTTATCCTGGCCAACAAGGAAAGTTCTAGGCAATAGCCACAACTGACTCCCAGAGAGCCCAGCTGTAGCTGCACACACTCTTGGGCTATACAAGTGTCTCTGTCTTCTGCATCCCTTGTCTGTAAGGTCTGAAGACCTTAAAGCCGGTATCCAGGTCAGGGCTGTATATCCTGGTCAGTATCCTGTGTATCCTGGAAGTGCTGAGGCTACAGAAGACGGTCTCTCCAGGATTATTTCAAAGGCCTGCTGAGTCTCCGAAGCTTCTTGAGTTGACTGAGCAGCTCAGAGATAAAAGGCTGAAGGAGGAAGAGCAGTGGCATCAAGACAGGAAATCACAGTCACTGTGCTGCCTTCCTTCATCTGTCTTCAAACTATCTCCCAGGTCCAGAGAAGAAAAGAATGATCAAGGGCCAAGCTTTCCTCTCTTCCTATTTTTTTTTTCTTTCATGAGACAGGGTTTCTCTGTGTAGCTTTAGCTGTCCTGGACTCACTTTGTAGACCAGGCCAGCTTCAAACTCACAGAGATCCAGCTCCCTCTGCCTCCCAGAGTGCTGGGATTGCAGGCGTGCATCACCATGCCTGCCTAAGCTTTCCTCTTAAATGCTCCTCTTTATTCATCATAGGCACCCCGTTAGGCCTCCTCCTAAAGCAGTAGCAGAATATACCTTACCTCTCTGTCACCGGGGCAGTCTTGGAGAATGGCCTGGGTAAAAGAGAACAAGGTGAACTGAGCCATGCTACTTTCCCATCAGGCCCCCAAGAACCCTCTCCTATAAACCAGTTCTTTGCAGCTGGCAGTTATGTTGGTTGGATAGAGTGTGGCACTAATAGTTGGTACTTTTCATGTTTCCCAAGGAAGCAGGCCCTAGGCTCCCAGCCAAGCCTCCAGTCCCCAGCTTCCCATCTTACCTCCAACTGAGTCCTCTGCTCTTCTGTGGACAGATCCATGAGAGCTTCCAGATCAATCTCGGGTTCAGAAGGATCTTCTTGACCCTGGTTGAGAGTAACAGAGGGATGTGACAGCCTGGCGCTGGAATGGCAGTCACTGTCAGGGACTCCCCCATCTCTACCTTCGTCTCCTGCTGACCTCCATATTGATCCTCCTGCTCAGCTTACCCAGAATGACCACTGATTTTCCTATCCAGTAAATATTTACTAGACACCTCCCATGCTCTACACAAAAGTGTCAAGAGTTATTCCCAAAGAGTGGCTTCCCATGTGCCTGCAATCTCAGTACTCAGGCTGAGGAAAGACGATCATGAGTTCCAGACCAACCTAGACTTCATAGTGAGAACTTGTCTCCAAAAAGGAAGAGGAATAGATAGATAGATCTGGGGAGATGGCTCAGCAGTTAAGAGCTGCTCTTCCAGAGGACCTGAATTAGGTTCCCAGCACCGCATGGAGGCTCACAGCTGTCAGCCTCTCCAGTTCTCGGGTTTCCTGCACCTTTTTCTGGCCTCCCTGAGTACCTGGCATTTGGAGAACAGATATAAATGCAGGTGAAACCCCTGTACATACAAAATAATGACATATATGATAATCCCAACACCAAGGAGGCAGAGGCAGGTGGGTGTCTGTGAGTTCAAGAATGGCTGACCTGATGGACACAGTGAGTTCTAGGCCGGCCAGATCTATGTAGAGAGACCAGTCTCAAAAAAAAAAAAAAAAAAAAAGCTGTCAATGAGTCAATGCACATGGAATGTTCAGCATAAGCTGATCTACAGAGAAAGTAGATCTGTTTGTCCTGAGGCTGAAACGGTCACGTTAGGAATGTGATGTGACCGCTACTGCATTAGGGCCTGGAGGGGGATGAAATCACCTAACGTTAGTTTGTGGAAACAGTTGCACACGCCCAGGAGATACAGAGCACCACCGCACTGCACACGTTAAAATGTGAGTCAACTAGCTGGGCACGGTAGCACGTGACTTTAATCCCAGCATGTGGAGGCAGAGGTAGGCAGATCTCTGTGTGTTTGAAATCAGCCTGATCTACATGGCAAGTACCAGGCCAGACAGGGCTACATAATGAGACCCTGTCCCCAAAACAAACGAATAAATTGTGCAGTATGTAAATCATAGTAAAAATCATGAGAAAGCTCCTTCCAGAAGTTACAGTCATGAACCACTGAGATGGGCCAGTGGCTAATGGTGCCTCACATGAAGCTTAACGATGTCGGGATCTCACAGGAGAGAATAAGCTGAAGCTGTCCTCTGAGCGCCACGTGCACACTGTAGCCCACACTCCAACGATAAAGTTAAACTTCAGAAAACTGAAAATGTCCCAATCCGCCCCATGTGTCTCTGTGAGCTGGAGGCCATCCTGCTCTAAGAGCAAGCTCCAGGACAGCCAGGACTGCACAGAAGCCTGCCTCAAAACAAAACGAGAACAGTTACAGTCCCTGGGAGATGGCTCAGCAGGACAGCATCTTCCAGAGGAGCTGAGTTTGGCTGCCAGCACGCATGTCCTCACACCCATAACTGCAGCTCCAGGGGAGTCTGACCCTTAGCTCCTCGGGCCTCTCCACTCACATGCCCATGTCCACACACCCACAGTCAGTGGTGTGACATTTTATAAAGGGCAAAATATACCCACTATATTCATATGGTCATTGTTAAAGGGCAAAGGAACCCTCAACTACCTTCAAACTCTTTCTACTAACTGTTAACACTTGGGGGCTTTTGCCCTTTTGTTTATTTATTTGTTTGTTTGCTGTTTTTTGAGACAGGGTTTCTCTGTATAGCTTGGCTGTCCTGGACTTGCTTTGTAGACCAGGCTGGCCTCGAACTCGCAGTGATCAGCCTGCCTCTGCCTCCCTGAATGCTGGGATTAAAGTCTGTCCCATACCCCTAAGCTCTAGACTTTCCCCCTTTATTTCTTTCATCTATGGCTCATCTCATTCAACACTCGTGCACGTTACGCCTGTTTATGAAAGGCCTGGTACCCTGGCAGTGGTGGCCCACGCCTTTGATCTTAGCACTGAAGAGGTAGACGCAAGCAAATCGCTGTGAGTCTGAAACCACCCTGGTCTACAACACTAGTTCCAGGATAACCAGGGCTACACAGAGAAACCCTGTTTTGAAAGATAGATGATAGATAGATAGATAGATAGATAGATAGATAGATAGATAGAAAGAAATATAGGTGTTCTGTGTATCAAAGATGATGATGAGTCTTGGGATCATAGCAGCAAGACAGACAGACAGCATGATCCTGCCATTGAAAAACCTAAAGTGGAAGAGCAGTTGCCATAGGTGGTGACAGACAAATGAATAGATGAGGGACCTCAGGAGTATATGGGAAGGAAAGGTTACCAAGCCAGAATTCCAGAAGATCCTGAAAGCAGTCTCTGAAACCTGGAGCATAAGAAGTAGCCAGGTACTGGGTAGTTTGCCTGGAAGAGTGCTTGCCTAGCATTCAGAAAGCCCTGAGTTCAGTCCCCAGGAACAGCATAAACTCAGCATCTACTTGTAATCCCAACACAGGGGAGGCAGAGACATGAGATCACCCTTGGATACTAAACCTGAGATGAGACTTCCTAAACAAACAGACTTCATCAAATCTGATACTTAGGGTCAGGAGCAAGTGGCAAGCACTAGATTATTGTCATAAATTGGTTCACTAAAAAATCGAAAAAAAAAAAAATACAGTCAGATGTGATGGCACACACATGTGGTCTCAGCACCTGGGAATGGGAGGCAGAAGAATTGGTAAAAGCTTTAGGCTAGCCCCGGCTACATGACAAGTAACAAGATAGCCATGGTTACACAGCAAAATCCTCATCAAACAAACAAACAAGCAAAAGCCCACACAGGCCAGTCTTGGTAGCACACATTTTTGATCCCAGCACTCAAAAGGCAGAGCCAGGCTGAACTTTCTGGGTTCAAGGCCAGCTTGGTCTACGTATTGAATTCTAGGTTAGCCAGTGCTACACAGTGAGATCCTGTCTTGAGGGAGTGGGGAGAGGCTCAGCAGAGAAAGGCGTTTGCCACAGAACACTGATTATTTGAATTTGATCCCCTGATCCCACAGTGGGAGGAGAAACCCAATTCTCTGAAAGCTGTCCTCTGATCTCACACGTGCATGATGACACAAGCGTGCACACACTCAGACACAAATCACACATACACAGGCACACACAATAATAAATAAAATAATTTGGGAAAAATAAAAACAGCAATGGTGGAACATGCCTGTAATCCCAGCACTCAAGAGTCAAGACAAGAAGATGAGGGGGAAAAAAAGACAAAATAACAAAAGAAGAAGAAGAAGAAGAAGAGGAGGAGGAGGAGGAGGAGGAGGAGGAGGAGAGCCTAAACTCAGCCATCTCTCCAGTCTCATAAAAATTAATTTAAAAAAGAGTAGCAATCTCCTGAGGAATGACACCTGAAGCTGACCTACAGCCTGCCCATGAGCAGACACACAAACGCACACATACACAACAGCACCAATAATAATAAATTAACATTAGAAAAAATGTCAAGCAAGGTGATACATACCTGTCATCCCAACACTTGGGCTAAAACAAGAAACCAGCCTGAGCTACATCATGAATTTCAGGCTAGTCTAGGCTACAGAAGGAGATACTGTCTCAAACAAACAAACAAAACAACAACAACAACAACACAAAACCAGAGCAGTCTGGAGAATTTAGCAAGACCCTATCTCAAAAACAGAAGTAAAAGACTGGACAGAGGAGTGGCCAGGAATGTGTGCAGGCTCTGGGTTCACCCCAAATACCTCATAAACCAGGCAAGGGGACCCAGGCCTGTAATCCAGCACCCAGGAGCTACATAAGAATGAAAGGAGAGAGCCAACTCCATAAAGTTCTCTCCTAAACACTGTGCCACAACTCATCTCTCATGTATGTACACACATTTACACAATTTTTTAAAATGTTTGTAAGTTTATAAAAAGACTCCTGACCCTCAAACCATTATACACATTTATGTGTTTCGTACATGTCAAACATGGTTGACGCTACAGTAAAATGTTGATAATAAAGGTTGTATCATAGTCCCAACTTTTTTTCTCCCCAATCCCCTCGTGCCTAGTGCCAGCCTCTTGCACGTGTTAAATACATGGTTCTACCCCTGAGTTCCTCCCTCGGCCCCTCACAGATGCTTTAATTCCCAGAGAATGCCAACCCCACTGAAGATGAGCAGGCATGGTAAGCTATGACATTGTTACAAGTGGTGGCTTCCTGCCAGCTGTTGCTTGATTTGAACCCTTACGGAATCTTCATTTGACACCCAGACCTTGAAGACTAGCAATGGAGCACAGCCCAGATGAATGAAGGATGTGTGCTTCGTTGACAATACTTGTTTTGCTTTTTGAGACAGGATCTCACTCTACAGAAAATACTGGTCTCAAACTCAGAAATCTGTCTGTCTGCCTCTGCTTGAGTGCTGGGATTAAAGGCATGCACCGCCATACCCAGCTGACAATACTTTTTAAAAATTATTATCGTTGTATGAGGGGGCTGGGTGAGTGTGCCACGGTCAGAGGACAACTTTGTAGAGTTGGTGTTCTCCTTTCACCTTTACACGGGTGCAAGGGATCAAACTCATGTTTATCAGGCTTGTGGCAATCGCCTTTACCTGCTGAGTCATCTCAGTGGCCCCAACAACACTTTTGTGTATTTGGTGGTACTCAGAATTGAACCCAAGGTCTCACACAAGCTGGGGCAAGTGCCCTACAATGAGCTATATTCCCAGCTCTTTGGTGTCTTCTTTTATTTCAAGATTAGGGTCTCGCTAAATTGCCCAAGCTAGCCTTGAACCTACGGTACTCAGTCTCCTCAGTAGCTGAGTTTACAGGCCTGTGCCACTAGCTCTGGCAACCGCCCTTTTTGAAGAGTTAAAAATGTAAGAGACCGTTGCTTTAAAATGTCGCTGTCTCAACAGGAATGTGTTCCAGCTGTTACCAGGAAAATCCAGTATCATGGAATTACAAGACAGAACAGTTCAGTCAACGGTGTCCCTTGCTGATATGTACATTAGATTTAACCCTCATGCAGTGGTTAGCAGGTTGATTTCAGGGGACTGAGTGGTATGTGGAATGGGAAAGGCCTCTAAGAATCTAGTGTGGACAAACCCTTTAAGGGGCCTGACGTGAAGAAGTTAAAAAAAAAAAAATAGAGGATAAAAATAGTGTAGGTAGCCAGTTGTAAAACAGGGGTCTCCTCATTCAGTCCCAGCCTGGAAGCCAAATCCTCAGGCTACTTCTGGAGAGAAGAAGCTTCAGGGATCCCCAGACTGTTGAATCCCCAGATTTAGTTCCCCACAGACCCCAGGCCTGGCTACACACCCAGGGGAACACTGGTCCTCTGAGGAAGGAAGGTTGCGTGTCATTAAACTAGACAAGGGGTACATCCCTGAAATCATCCCCAATGACGCAGCAGGGCAAGGTGAGCAGGACAGAGCCATGGAGGCTGAGGGGCGCTACGAAGGCTGAACTGGAGCTGGGTGAGCTCAGAGTGACCTTGACCTCTGTCTGGATGCCCAGCCACCTGCAGCTTCCCAGGCACTTTGTTGCTTCCTGCTGGCACCTTTGGACAACTGCCACGGAAACTGCAGGCCAGTTTATGCCAGTCATTGCCTGGGAGCGGTCCTCCCGGCGTCACGGGCACATTACGGCCTCCCCTCCTCCACCTTTGCCTTGTAAAATAAAGTTGTTTGGCTGCTGCCTTCCGCTGTTGGTTGGCAGGACTCGCTCTGAGGTGTCTGAAATGTGAGGCTTTCCATCCGAGTGTGCAGGGAACGCTTTGCCACATGGGAACTTTGCCACAGTGGGGAGGCGCTGGAAGTAGCAGGGTAGGGCAGCTGGTGGCACCCTGCAAAGCCAGAACAGACGGGGACCACGGAAGTTCGCCTCTCCAGCTCCTACCTCTGAGGCACCTCTCTACCCGATACAAGCAGGCTGAGGACCGCAAGAGCAACGTGTGCACTACACAGTCAGGGGATATAGTGCCCTGCACGACTGACCAGGCCCCATCCATCATCCTCCCCCACTCCCACAGGGTGCAGGGCAGCTGACAAGCCTCACAGACCCCGACACGGGGGGTCGGGAGGAAGGAAGGAAGGAAGGAAGGAAGGAAGGAAGGAAGGAAGGAAGG